TCCTCCTCGTCGTCCTCCTCCTCCTCCTCCTATTCCTTGTCCTCCCCCTCCTCCTCCTTTTCCTCCTCCCCCTCCTTTCTCCCGCATCCCTGCCCCTGCCCCTGCCCCCCGCGTGTCAATTTCGGCACCCCCCCCACACCTTTCGTGGCCCCGAGGAGAGCTCCACCGAAGGCCCCAGTGGCACAGTCCGTAAGGCGTACCTGCATCCGATTCGGCACACCCCTTGCACGCTTCGTGGCCCCAAGGGGAGCTTCACCGAAGGCACCAGTGGCACAGTCCGCATGGCGTACCCGCACCCGATTCGGCACCGAAGGCCCCAGTGGCACAGTCCGCATGGTATACCCGCATCCGATTCGGCACTCCAGTCACACGTTTCGTGGCCCCAAGGGGAGCTTCACCGAAGGGCTCCAGCGGCACAGTCCGGCTGGCGCACCCGCACCCGATTTAGTTCACCCATCACACGCTTTGCGGCCCCGTAGTGAGCTCTACCGAAGGCCCCAACGGCACAGTCCGCAAGGCGTATCCGCACCCGATTCGGCACACCTCTCTTACTCTTGGAGACCCCATAGGGAGTCCCGCCAAAATTTTCAGTGGCACAGTCCGCATGGCGCACCCGTACCCTATCTGGCACACCCCTCACACGTTTGTGGCCCCATAGGGAGGTTGGTATACCCCTCACACGTTTCATGGCCCCAGAGGGAGCTCCACCGCAGGCCCCAGCGGCACAGTCCGCATGGCGTACCCTAGCCCGATTCGGTACGCCTCACACGTTCCGTGGCTCCGAGGGTGGCTCCGCCGATAACGACTCTCACAACTGCGGTACTTACAACTGCAGATGGTTGGGTCCTTCGCCAGGGTAATTTTGTTGAGTTGTTTTGTTAACTGCCTCGAGACCAGTTCTTTATTGTTTGGGGCATGGCGGGCGTCACGGCCCCCGCTCCCCCCTCCCCTATGACGTAACGCCCCCCCTCCAGCGCGCTCCGGGCACTACCGCCGTGCGCGCTGGGATCCGCGTAGGTGTCCGCGCAGGAATCCGCATAGGAGTCTTGTCCGCAGTCGTCGTCGTCGTCGTCGTCGTCGTCGTCGTCGTCGTCGTCGTCGTCGTCGTCGTCGTCGTCGTCGTCGTCGTCATCGCTCGTGGCTCGTCGCTCATCGTCGTCGTGCGCGCGGACGCGGCTGGATCCTGTTATTTGTTCCGGGCCGATCACGGCAATCATCTGAGGGGGTGTGGAGGGGATCGATGACATCATGTTTCGCGCCGGCGGCGTCTGGGAATGCCTAGGAATGACCGGGGACGGGTAGCACCAGCATGTAGGTGGCGGTCTGCACCACAACGCCTGTGTACACCACATTGCTTGCGTGCACCACAGCGCCTGTGTACACCACACCGCCTACGTACACCACGGCAGCCGCGTGCAACACAGCGTCAGTTTGTGCCACCGTGCTCGCGGGCACAACAGTGGTTGTGTACACCGCAGCGCCTGCGTACACCACATCAGCCGTGTGCAACACAGCACCAGTGTACACCATCATGCCTGCGTGCATTGCAGTGCCTGTGTACACCACGGCGCCTGTGTGCACCACAGCAACCGTGTGCAACACAGCGCCGCACTTGCATATCGAATGTTGGGAGGAATCCTGATGACAAAATGGAACGCTTGTGGATTCCACAAAAACAATATGAAATAATCCTTATGGACAAAGGAGCGCCGCTGGAATCTACGAGTTCTCCCGAGTCCGCCCGCATCACCCTAACTTATCCCATCTGCGTCCAGGGGGCTCCAGCTCAATTGGCCGTGCGAGAACCAAGTGGACCGAATCAATAGACCATTATGCGGTGCACTGCGCGCTGAAATGAGAACGCGCGCTGTAGCGCCACCCCGCACGACACGGGGTAAGGAGGAGGAGGAGGAGGAGGCGGAGGAGGAGGAGGAGGCGGAGGAGGAGGCGGAGGAGGAGGAGGAGGAGGATCAGAAGGAGGAAGAGGATGAGGAGGAGGAGGAGGAGGAGGTGGAGGTGGAGGTGGAGGTGGAGGAGGAGGCAAGAGGGAAAAACGTCGCATTCGATTATCAGGACTGTCCTGCACGCAGGCACTGTGGTGTACAGTCGCGTTGCGTTGAACGTGGATGCTGTGGTGTAGACAGGCGCTGTGGCGTGCACAGGCGCTGCGGTGAATTCAAGCATTGTGGTGTACACAGGCATTCTGTTGCACATGGTTTCTGCGGTGTACACATGTACACCGGCGCTGTAGTGTATGCAAGCACTGTGGTGTACACAGGCGCTGCGTTGCACACGGTTCTTGCGGTGTACGCAGGTGTTGTGGTGTTCGCGCGCGTTGTGGTGCACGCGAGCGATGTGTACAAAGGCGCAGTTGAGCATATCGCCACCTACATGTTGCTCGCGTCGTCGTCGTCGTCGTCGTCGTCGTCGCTCGTCGCTCGTCGCTCGTCGCGTCGTGCGCGCGGGCGCGGCTGTGGTGCCGGAGCCACACGGCGGGGGGGGGCGTTACGTCATACCCCCTCCGCCCCCCCCCCCCATGACGCCCGTCATCGCCGAACGTAAAGAAACGCTCTCCTCCCGGGGCCCGGTGAGGGCACCTGAAGGCCGAAAATTATCAGATACCTCCCGTCGCGATCTTTCGCGGCGCGAGGAACTACGTCGGGGTCCGAAGACAACCTCCCGCCCGAGGATCCAGACCCGCCGAGCCCGATGGACGTGATGGCGCCCTTCCAGCCCGCGGCGAGCCAGGGCGACGCGTGCGGCGTCGACCGGTGCAAGTCGGCAGCTTCCGACCGCACCGGGGCGGGGGAGTGCGTGGGGCATCGAAGAGGGGGGATGAAGCTTTCGTTGACTCTTGGGTGTTTTCTCGCCGCGGGATGCTGCCCAGCAGCTGCGCCTCGTCGAGAGCTTTCCTGGGGTGCCCGACTCGTCCCGGACGGCGGCCGGATGCCCGAGTCATGTCCGAAAGCCATCAACTGCCGAGGGGGGCTCAGTTCAGGGATGTTTGGATAGCATGGCCGTCGCCGTGAAACCTCCCAGATCTCATGTCCCCTTCTTCCTCCCCTTCCCCTTCCCCTTCCCCTTCTTCTTCTTCTTCTTCTTCTTCCTCCTCTTCCTCCTCTTCTTCCTCTTCTTCTCCTTCTTCTTTCGACACGTCCCCTGGCCCTGGCCCCCCCTCGTCCGCGCACATGCCTCGGACGATGATGCGCCAACCCCCCGTCCCCTCTCCGTGCTCCCCTCTTCGGCGCACCTGAGAATGGCTGGGGTCCGGGGCAACGAGCGGGTGGGGGGGATGGGCTCCGGGGGGGAGGCGTCGACCCCCGATGGCCCATCTCTCGCCGATGGGGGCCTGGGTGCCCCGCCCTGCCCGGGAGCCTGGGGGCTCCGCCGTCGGGGACCTGACACCGAGCTGTCGTCGACGCGTCGCCGGTGCCGGGTCGACGTTTCCCCCTGCTCGTTCCCCCTCAAGGGGCGGGCGGTGCGCGTGGGCGACGTCTGGGTGAGGGAGGGGGGTCGCTGGGGGAGGGCTGGAGGGAAACAGGGGCACGTGGGGGGGGAGGGGCAGGAGGCGAGGGGAAGGGCAGGGCAGAGGGTGCAGGGAAGAGGAGCAGAGAAGAGGAGGTGAAGGGACAAATGGAGAGGGGATGGGCGAGCGCAGGAGAAAAGGAGGGCGAAGGAGGGGAGAGGAGGGGAATTCTCGACGCTTCGCATATTTGGAATATGGCAAATCCGCATAAACACAAACATAGTTATGGGTCGGCGCTGGGCCCCCCCCCTGGAGGCGCCAGATGCGCCGCCCCTGACGCGCTCCGCGCGCCAGGGAGGGGGTCAGCGACGATCCAAGGAATCCGCCAAGACCTCCGCAAGTTTATGTGATGTTTTTTCTTCTCCTACACCAGCCATTCAGACATGTTGTCCATGCGAGTCGCTTTGATCAGGGACGTTCAGGAGCAAGTAGTGGAACAAAGAGGCGAGGCAGTCGCAAACGGAAGCTCAGTATCTGCCTGAGCAGATCCAGGAAATGCTTCAACCGATCTTCCGATATGGGAACCTCTTGGCAGCTTACTCGGGCCATCTTGGGGTCCTCACGGAACCACTTTGGAGACCTTCGGATTTTTTTGGGCACTCTTTGGGCCCTCGGGAGGCTCTCTTTGGACCCGTTTCGGGGCCGAAGGGGCCCTTTTGGGGCTCTTTTGGAGGCTGTCAGTCAAATATGGGGGTGGTCCTTAATTACAGCCTCCCGTCGAAGCTCCTGAGCTATCTTGTTGGCCATCCTAGGGCCATCTGGGGCCCTCTTGGAGCCATCTTGGGCCATCTCGGACGCTCTATCGCGACGCGACCTTCCCCCGTCCCGACCCAGGGAATGGGGGTAGGGGGTGCGGTAATCCTTTCCCCGACAGGGAAGGGGGTGGGTGGAAGAACGGACTCGCTAAACCATCTGCGCCCTAGAGGGTTGGTTGGATTCTGGAAATGAGGGCGAGAGTTGAGGGAAGAAACACGCTGACCATGACCAAGTTGTCGCGGGATCTTGGCGACGCCGATCGTGATCATGATCCATGCTGGCCATCGCCGATTCGCGAGGGTGATCCACGAGTCGACGGTGATCAATATAGACGGTGACCAAGATCGGCACAACCGTTTCCGTGTTCAGCCTTGGTCTTGGTCACCGTGTTCTTTCCTTCCATAGAGCGTGGGAGGAGTCCGCCGCAGTTTTTGGTTATGCTTGTCGTGCAGTGTGAACTTCTTGGGCTCTTTTTCCTCAGGCCATTACCCTCCCCAGCGTCAGCACTCGGTGCTCTGGCAATCCGGAGGTTGGGAGGGAGACGAGGAGGAGGAGGAGGAGGAGGAGAGGGAGGAGGAGCGGGAGGAGGAGTGGGAGGAGGAGGGGGATGTGGAGGATGGCGTGGAGGAGGAGGAGGAGGAGGAGGAGGAGGGAGGAGGAGGAGGAGGAGGAGGAGGAGGAGGAGGAGGGGGGCAAACGCCTTCATTGAGAAGCCCAGGTCCGTCAAGAACCTCTGCTACCGCCCTACCATCGACGTGGCCGAGGAGAGCGAGGAGCCGTGCGGACGCCGCGGCGCTCGGCCCCTCTGCTCGGTCCTGACGTCCGGCGACGTGTTTTTTCAATTCGGGGAGGGAGGGGGGGAGGGGGAGGGGGAGAGGAGGAGGAGGAAGGGGAGGAGGGGGAGGAGCAGGCACGAGAGGGGGAGGACGATACGATTTTTCAATTCGGGGCAGAAGGGGAGGGAGAAAGACAGGGGGAGTGATTCACCGTGGGGGAAGAGCTCCAACATATCAGATGGACTGTTTTTTCTCCCCCTCCGCCCCCCTCACTCCTTCCTCTTCCTGTGCTAGTGCACTTTCACATTCCGTTAAATCTTGTTCCGCTCAACTTGCCCACGCGTCCGCCAGGGATGCAAGGATTCAGTCAGTCAGTTCTTTCTCAATCCGCGGCCCCAGAGGTCCCGACCCCTTCCCAGGGGGTAGTTTTTTGGCCATGACGCCCTGGGCCACGTTGGCGCCGTGAGCTAATTGATGTGTGGACCCTGCCCCTCTCCCCCCTCCCTCTCCCAAACGGGACAGAGAGGGCCGTGCGGCAGCCGGGTGCCTGGGCCGCGGGCCAGGCGGGCGGCGGGTAGCCCTCCTTCTCCTGCCCTCTCCCCACCTCCTTCTGCGCGTGCGTACTTCGAGGGATTCGCTTTCGCCGCTCTTCCTGCCGTCCTTCATGGCCCGTCCTTTCCTCCTGGCCCGTCCTCTCCTCCTGGTCCCTGTGGCCGCCACGATACTGCGCATGTGACCGCCGACGTAACATGCTGCGAAGGGTGGGCACTTGAGAGAGAGAGAGAGAGAGAGAAAGAGAGAGAGAGAGAGAGAGACACACACACACCACACACACACACCACACACACCACACACACACCACACACACACACCACACACACACCACACACACCACACACACACACACATTTTCTGAGCCTTTTTCCGAGGGCGCAGAGGTCTTTTGAGAAACCGTCTGAGCCTTTTCCGAAGTCGCAGAGGGCTCCTCAGAAGGCTCGAGGGCTTCGTAGAAACCCCGCCGCCATCCGAGAAGGCTTGCCCCACTCTCGTTCCCCCTCGGCGCGCCGTTGATTTGGTTTCCAGGTCATACCTCGGTTCACTGGCGGCCATTCTGGACGATCTGGGTACCCCGGGAGTGCTCTCGGCGAGGCGCAGCTGCTAGAGAGCACTCCGAGGCTGGGAAACCTGCGCGACGCGACGACAAATCCTTCCCCTGTCGACTCGCCGCTGACAGAGAGAGAGAAAGAGAAAGAGAGAGAGAGAGAGAGAGAGCCCCCTTCGGCCGCTAGGGGCAGCCCTTTGTCAAGCAGTGGCGAAGCGTTCTGGCTTGCTTATATTCCAACCCAGACTGATCTAATCACCTTTCGTGGCTTGCATGAAATGTTCTTGGAGCACTCCTTGGTGAGGTGGCCTTGTTTCAACAAACTGGTTGTTCTAAGAACAGCTTGTGGTAGGCCTATAAGGAATGCCAGAACGGTCGGTTCCTGTTCGCTTTTTGGAGTCAGGGAAACGTCGGGTCGATTCTTCCAGTGCCCCATCGGGAGCTTCACCGAAAACGGTAACCACCGCGGTTTTCACAACTGGTAACCACCGAAAACGGTAACCACGCACGGTTGGGTCCTTCGCCAGGATAATTCCCTTAGTTTGCCATTCGCTGGCTCTGACCCCCAGAAGTCTGGCCCCCGTTAGCAGGCGAACGCGAGCGTGGGCGGGAAGAGCGCACACCAGACGGCCGGGCACTCGCGGGCCTCGGTGCACGCGCCAGGAGCGAGCGCACCTGATAGGCTACGGCAACCACAACTTCTCTGGCGTCAACGGCGGCGGGAAGCCAGGATTGACCAGGGGGGGAGTCTTGGAGCCCTCTGGGGGTCTGAGGTGGCCCAGCACTGGTTCTGGCCAGCAGGAAAATCGGGCAGGTTTGAGGTTCTAGATTCGGGGAGGTTTTTTGCCTCTTTCGGCTTCCGGGGGTCGTTTCTCGAACCCCAGGACTGTGAAAAACGGATCTGGGGCGAAAAACCACCAGATGGACCCTTGGAGGGTTCTGGGGACCGAGGGGTCCCGGCCAGTTCAGACCCCCTGGCCGTCTCCAAGTAGAGTCTGGAGCGTCCAAGAGGGGGGATGGCGACTAGGGTTGTGTGGATGTCATGGTTGGGGCCGCACTTCGCCCCAGTGAGGTCCGCAGGCCCCCCAGGGCCGGCCGTGCGCGCGCGGACTTGATATCCAAGCATCCCGACCTAGCCTGCAGGTGGAACCGTTGGGCTGACGAACTTGTTATATAGTTCACCCTTCGCGTATCCCCACCAGCCCAGCGAGGGCCTCTCGGGCCGTCTTGGGGCCCTCTTGGGGCCGTCTTGGAGGCCACTTGGGCTGTCATGGGGCCCTCTTGGGGGCCTCTTGGGCGATCTTGGTGGTCTCTTGGGCCGTCTTGAGCCGTCGGAATGCCGAGAAGAAGCAAATTCCAAAATCCTTCAAAAACCTAAGGAAAATCAATGATTTGGGCCTCTTCGGGCCCTTCTGGAGGACCTCTCGGAGGCCTCTTGGGCCGTCTTGGAGGCCTCTGGGGGGCCTCTTGGGTCTTCTTGGGCCAGCTTGAGGCCATCTTAGGCCGTCTTGGGTGCATCTTGCTCCGTCTTGGAGGCATCTTGGGGCCATCTAAGCCGTCTTGGAGGCCATCTTGGCCGTCTGGGAAGCATCTTGGAGGCCATCTTGGGCCATCTTGGCGCCGTCTGGGGCAGGAAAGCCCACGGCAACCACCTCCGGAAGATGCTGGAAGAGCCTCCCGGGACCCCGGCGGGGCGCGCCGGAGCCCCAGGAGGAGTTCTTTTGGAAAAAGACCCAAAACCAAAACCGAGAGGGTCCAGCACTCTTGGGCCGTCTTGGGGGCCTCTTGGGGCCGTCTTGGGCGCCTCTTGGGCCGTTCTGGGGCCCTCTAGGGGGCCTCTTGGGCGATCCTTGGGCGATCTTTGGGAGCTCTTGGGCCGTATCGGGCCGTCGGAAGGCCGAAACGAAGCAACTGTCAAAATCCTTCAAAAACCTTTGGAAAATCATTTCTGGCCTTCCTGGAGGCCCTCTTGGAGGCCTCTTGGGCTGTCTTGGGCCAGCTGGAAGCCACCTTCGGCCATCTTGGTGGGCTCCTGGTACGTCTGACGCCGTCGGAAGCCGTTTCGGGGGGCTTTCTGGGCCGACTTGGGGCCCTCTTGGGGTGCTCCAGGGCTGTCTTCGAGGCCATCTTGAGCGTCTTCGAGGCCTCTTGGGCCGTGTTGGCGCCCTCTTGGGGCCGTCTTTGGGGCCTCTTGGGCCGTCATGGGGCCCTCTTGGGGGCCTCTTGGGCGATCTTGGGGTGACCTTGGCGGCCTCTGGGGCCGTATCGGGCCGTCGGAAAGCCGAAAAGGCGCAAATGCCAAAATCCTTCAAAAACCTAAGGAAAAAGGATTTTGGCCTCGTTGGGTCTTACTGGAGGAACTCTTGGAGGCCTCTTGGGCCGTCTTGGAGGCCTCTTGCGGGCCTTTTGGGCCGTCTTAGACCATATTGGGGCCATCTTGGGCCGTCTTGGATGCATCTTGGGGCCATCTTAGCCGTCTTGGAGGCCATCTTGGCTGTCTTGGAGGCATCTTGCAGGCCATCTTGGGCCATCTTCGCGAGTTTTTTTTGATGATGTCCCGAGCGAAACGGCCGTTTTTGCGATGGCAACCGGGTCTTCTGGGTGGCCGGCGGGACGCGCCAGAGCCCCAGGGGGAGTTCTTTTGGAAAAAGATCCCAAACCCAAACCGATAGGATTTAACACGCCAGGCACCCCTTTGATAAATCAAAAAGGGGCGGCGGATCTAGTGGCCTTCGGTCCATCCCGCCACCATGCCTGGGTTGTGGTTCAGAGGCCTTTTGCTTGTTCGTTGGGATCTCGTGAGAAGCCTCTCGGGGGCCTGCCCGAGGCAGCTTGGAGGCCTATGGGGGCTGTTTTGAGGCCTCTTGGGGCCTCTTTTGGGCCTCTTCGGGGTCTCCTTGGGGCCGCGTGGGGCCCCTTCAGGGCCTCTTGGGGCCTCCCGGGGGCCTCTTGGGCCCGAAAGCATGAATTTTCGGTTCGTGGTCCCCTTCTTGGGCCCCTCTTGGGGCCCTCTTGGGGCCTTCTTGGGCTGTCTTGCGGTCCTTTTGGGCCATCTTGGGGCCCCTGTGGGGCATTTTGGGGCCTTCTTGGGGGCATCTTGGGCCGTCTTGTGGCGGTCGTGGGGGGCCTCTTGGGCCGTCTTCGAGCATCGGAAGCTGGAAAAGGCGAGAAAGCCAACAATTCTGAAGTAAACGAACGAGAATCACCGATTTTGGCCTCTTGGGGCCCTCTTGGGAGGCCTCTTCGAAGCCTCTTGGGGCGTCTTGGAGGTGGGCCGTCTGGAGGCCATTTTGGGCGTCTTGGGACGATGCTTCGGCGACTCGGGGTCCTCTTGGACCGTCTGGGTGGTATCTTGGGGCCCTCGTGGCCCGTTTTGAGGCACTCGATGCCCTCCCGGCTGAATTTCTGGAGCAAAGTGACCTCCCCGGCCGGCCTGGATAGACCCCCCCCTTCAAATCGACCGGATCCTGCTCCCGGGGGAGGGGATTGGGGAGGGGGAAGCATCTCACACGCCGATGGAACCCCAAGGGGTCGGCGGATTCCTGGGCAGTCTTGGGCGGGTCGAGTACCGTCTCGATGTCATCTTGGATCGTCGTTGGGCTACCTTGGGCCATATCGGCGCTGTCTTGGACTGTGTTGGCGCTTTGTTTGGGCCGCTCTGGTGTGCGAGAAAAGGAGCGGGGAAACGGGCGAGAACCCGCGTGTGCATTCGGCGGGCATCTGTCAAATTACGTTTTGGAGCCGTCGTGTGGGTCTCGGAGCGTGCTGCGGGGCGTGTCGGGGCCCTTTTGGACAATCTGCCGCGCGCTCGCCAAAAGTGCCCCCTCGGGGCCTACGGCAATCGCGGCACAGCCTGTATGGGCAAGCTTTGTTTCTGCGGCTGATATTTCCATTGTTTGCCGTGCACGCACAGGGGAACTGGCGAGAACCCGCGTGTACTAACGGCGGGCGCATGTTCAAATTTCAGAAGGATGATTATCGACTAGCCTTCGGCACATACCGCCACCCGCGCCTAGGCTGCGGGTCGGAGGCCACGCGGATGGCGGACAGGGTCTTGTAGGTGGCGTCTCGGGGGCGTTTTGGAAACAGTTTTTGAACCTCGTGGGGTCCTCCTGGAGGCCTCAGAGGAGTTTTTTGGTGCCTCGCGGAGCTCCGACAGACCCATCAAGCTGCTGCCAGTGGGATACAACATCGTAGCATCCATGGTGCAGCAACGATTGCAGGCTGGAGGTGCAGAGGGGCGCATACGTCAGTCACAACTCGGGTTCCGTCGTCGGCGCAGCACGGTGCAATCTATTTCTATCGCTCGCCGGATGTTCGATGCAGCGCGCTCGACGGCATCGCTTGGGTTGCTGGCGATTTTTCTAGACTGGGCCACAGCACTTGACATAGTAAAACATGATATTCTCATGGGGGCGCTGCACAGATCTGGCATCCCAGAGCGGATGGTGGAGTTCATAGCTCGTATTTGTAATGAGCCGTATCTTGTGCTAAAAGATTGCGGGGGGACTCATCACAACGACCACAACGCGCTGGCATCGTTCAAGGGTGCCCTCTTCCCCCTACTTGTTCATCATGATCCAGTCGGTCATGTTTCGCGACGTAGACAGCAATATGCAAGCCAGGGGAGACGGCGCCAAGGAACCGCCGTATGTGGTATGTTCTGAATTGTTGTACGCCGACGACGCGGATGCTCGTCAGCGGCAACACGGAAAAACTACAGTTTTTAGTAGAGCGGTTATCGCAAGAGGGGCGCGCTACGGCTTGGAAGTGAATTAGGGCAGAAGTGTTTCTATTGGCATCGACCACGATGGTACGATTTCTGATCCGTCGGGTACGAAGGGTGGAGGACAACGTCGTGTAGTTGGGGGGTCTCTTGACGTCAGACGCGACAGCCAGACGGGAGCTGGCTCGCAAAATTGGCGAGGCAAAAGGGGTAGTCAAATCTCTACAGCAATGTTGGGCGTATGCGAATATTGCGCGAGCTGGAGCACTTGAGGATTCAGTGCAATTGTCACTCCCAAGTTGATGTGCAATTTGGAATCAAAATGGCTACACCGAGCAGACAAGCGAAACCTTAGCGAGTTTCATGCGCGGTCCCTCAGTAAAATCTGATGAATTCTATCTTCATGTGTGTCCCTGGTTTCAGACAGTACCGTATTGGAGAGAAGTGGCACGACAGCGCTTAGCGCCACGCTGATGGAGAGGCAAACCGCACTGCATCGTAACGTTGCTGCACTTCCAGAGGACAATTTGTCACGACTGTTTACTTGCGAACCACAACCATTCGAGCCACGACGCTGGGATCTCCGCCGGGGACGAGGGAGGCCTGAACAGCAATGGCCTGCGTGCGGTCACAACCACTGATGAGACAGATCGATGTGTGAAGTTGCTTGTCCAGTGAACCGCTTCCTTCTGGGGACAGCCCCGGGAGGATGTGAACATCACAGATTGACCCGAGCATCCTCGCGCAGGCTTCTTGTTTGCCGACCTGTTTCCGCCAATGCGCCGTGCAGGCGCCAGGCTTCCGTCCGTCCGTCCGCGGGGCTCCCTGGGAGCCTGTTGGGGGCTTTTTGGGAAATCCGGGCGGCGGTGCGGGGTAAAGGGCTCGAGATGTCCGTGTAGGTTCCCCCTCTAGGCCCCATCACGGGGTTGTCGCGGGGCCCTCCCGGGCCACTGTTTTTTTTTTTTTTTGGGGGGGGGGGGTGCGGGGCCCGTTTTGGATAGTCCGGGAACCCTTTTGGGGGCCTTTTGGGTTGTCGTGGGGCGACCCAGGAGGCTTCTTAGGCTGTCTTGGAACTCTTGATCGCAGGAGAGGCGAATGTACTAAACATACAGTTTGTCCAGTGCAAATGGGGCGAGTTTTGCTCTTTGGACGCCTCTTGACGGCTTCTCGGGGCGTCTTGGGACCTTCTTGGGCCGTCTGGAGGCCAGCGTGGGCGTTTTCGATCGATCCTTTGGCGGCTCGTGGCCTTTTGGTGCCCTCTTGGCTTGTTTTCGGGCCCTCAGTCCCCCCGTTTGGGTCGTCTGCGAGCCGTCGGGGGGGCCTCTTTGGCCGTCTTGGAGCGACCCGAGAGGCTTCTTGGGCTGTTTTGGATGTTGTGATCGCAGGGAAGGCGAATGTGCAATAAATGTAGGTTTTTCCCAGGGGAACGGGGCGATTTTTACAGTTTGAGACCGTTTGGGACGCCTGTTGAGGGCTTCTTGGGGTGTCTTGGTGGCCTCTTGGGCCGTCTGGAGGCCATCGTGGGCGTTTTCGATCGATCTTTTGGCGGCTCGTGGCCATTTTGGACCGTCCAGAGGGCCTCTTGGTGCCCTCCTGGCCTGTTTGGGGGCCCTCTGTTCCCTCGTGGCGCCTTCGGCCGGTCCCCAGGGGATCCCCCCGTGCAAATCGACCAGACTGGGCTCCCGCGGAAGGGGTATGGGGAGGGGGAACATTTCACACGCCGATGAACCCCAACGGGTCGAGGAGCATGTGGTGCAGGATATGTGGCACACGCTGTGTGGTGTAACCTATATGTGACAAGCTGTGTAAACGATGTGGCGCAAGATGTGTGGTGCATGTTATGTGATGTAGCTTGTAGAGTGCACGTTTTATTATGCAAATTATGTGACGTAGTTCATATATATACACATATGTATGTTTGATCATTCGTTTACATATATCACACATATATACATATATGTATGGTGCAGCATGGGTGGTGCAAGCTATGTGATCTAAGCTAGGTTGTGCAATGCATGTGGCGCAACCCATGTGGTTTCAGATATGTGGTGCAAGCTATCTTGTGCAAGCTACGTGGTGCAAGCTCTGTGGTGCAAGCTATGTGGCGTCCACGAGGCGCCCACGAGCGCCCGCAACCGGGCATCAATCAGGCACCAGCCAAACCGGTACCCCTCCAGCGCGTGTCGCCCACGACAGTGCAGCAACCGGCCAGCCGAGACCTTGGGTAATCGATCCAATTCCTTCAAGCAGAGGAAGTATAAGCCTGTAAATGCGAACGCTGGTTGTGACATATTTTTTGCCTTCTCACTGAGGCCACTTGGACGCTCGGATCGTTCGCGACTCCCCCTCTCCAGACCCACGGGTATTGGGCAGGGTGAGGGTTAAGAACCCCTTTCCAAGGGGGAACAAGTGGGCAGGATGGAAGGGTAATCGTGCAAAACCACCTCAGCCCCGAGGGCTTGTGGGATGGGATTCTTTGGTGAAGTGCCTTCCCGCCCTCTCCCATCTGCCCCTTCCTCACCCTTTCCTGTTCCACCCCCCGCCCGTTTTCCTCTTTACCCTTTCCCCTCCACCCTCCCCCCGTGCCCCCCCTTTCCTTCCTTTCTGTTTCCGCTCTCACCGACGCCCTCCACCCCCCACAATCTCTGTTCTGCCTTTTCCCTCTCCCCCCTTGTCATTGGCATCGTCGCCATCGTGGTCCTTTCTTCCTCCGATTTTGCAGGCGGTAACTTCTTTCTTTCCCTCCCTCCACGTTGTCGTCGTCGTCGTCGCCGTCCTGCTCCTCTTCTCTTCCTTGTCTCCTGCCATTTTGAGTCGGGCTGTTGTAACGGTTCATTCACTCACTGATAGGACTTGGTGCGATCTCGTACTGATGGATCCTAAGAAATTCCACGTGGCGGGAGGCTTCGATTCGTTCTTTTCTCCTGTTCAGGACAATGGATGCGGCCCAAGCACAACGAGGACATCATCGATGCAGATTCCCTTCATTCATTCAGCTGGTTGCCCGTGAGGAGTCTTTGGATTTGCATGCTGTGAGCAGCATTGTGCTCGGTGTCTTTTCTTAGGCACACTCCTGCCCTACATATTCCTTTTTCCCGCTTGTTCGATCTAGTGGCCTTCGGCCCCTCCCCGCCACTCTGACTGTGTCGTGTACCTCTGGTGGCCTCGTAGAGGCCTTTCGAGATTTGCTTGGGTGCCTCTTGAGGTTCGTTTTTGGAGCCTTCGTGGGCTTTTGAGGGCCTTTTACGACCTCCCAGGGGCCTGTTGGGGTGCCTTCGGGGATCTTGTGGGAGACTCATGGGGTCTCGGCGGCGACCTTTGGGGGGAGGGCTCTTGGGGACTGTCTTGGGGGCCTCGATCTTGGGGTCCTGTCTGGCAGTCCTGGAAGCTTTGTAACACCGAAAATGGAGATAATGCTAAACACATGCCTACGTCTTGATGGTTTGGGCAAATTTTGGCTTCTTGAGCCCGCCCCCGGAGCTATCAAAACGGTCCACAATTTCCCGAGAATTCTCCAGACGGACCCTAGGACTCCTGACCTCGGGAAAAGTCATGCGGAACACCCCAAGAAGCGAATCCTGGAAATCAGGGGTTCTCGGCTCCCTCCGAGGGTCAACAATATTCAACCGGCTATCGAGGATCCGGGGGCGCTTCTTCCAGTGGCCACTGCACGGTGGCGGATTTTTTCGGCACTGCCTTTCCCCCTCCTGCACCTTGTACCTCGCTTGCCCTTGCCACACTCGACCCCTCTCTTTTCACTCCGTTTCTGTACGCTTTCCCTTGTCCTGGGTCTTTACGCCAGGCTATGCAACTTTCCGCCTCCCTCGTCCACCTGACTCATATCACATATAGACAAGTATGTGGGTTGCCTAGCTGAAACGAAGCTTGCTGTTCGGCTAGCAGCATCCCAACCAGACTAGAACCATAAGGCAGTCCCTCGTGTTTGTGCCATTGCTTCAGCAGTAAGCCCGGCTACCAGGATGATTGCCTTCTTCACGTATTTCATTATCGGCTGGTGGATTCTGCAGGAGCGCAGATCAGGGTTGTATTCAGTCCGAAGGGTACGATCAGCATTGTGTGAGCAGCATTCAGTACAAGAGTTTGTGGTCAATTCGTCACGTATTTCCCTCAAGCTGGAGCTAGCCAAGGCAAGCTCTGCAGTGAAGCAGGGACGCTCAGGTGTAGCTACGCTTGCCCGAGCACAACCGAGGCCATGTGTAGCTAAATGAGTTTGGCTTAGAATTCACGTTCGAGCTTCGCGAATCATGCGCTCGAGCAGTATACGCCAACTAGATTGGAATTGGGGGCGCAATTATGAGCAGTATGAACAGATCGCTGAAGGATAAGTGTGTTGAAGATAGCGTGGAAACAGCACGGGCAAAGCCAGTGCAGAGAAAATTGTCGAGTCGAAAAGGGTGCATTCGAAGACGTCTGGATGGAGGGCTGTGGTGAGAGTGCGTCTAGGTTCGTAGAGTTGATTCGCGGATGCGTTTTGTCGTCCTTAGTTTAGAGGCGTGATGACGCAGAAGGAGAGAGGAACGACAGACATGTGGACAATGATAAGGAGGAACCGCTGGAGGAGGAACAGGAGGAGGAGGAGGAGGATTAGGAGGTATAGGAGTGATGGTGGAAGGAACATGGAAGAGGAGGGGTGCGGTCGGGGGGTGTGAGGATGCACGAGCAGGGGGGACGAGAGGAAGAGGAAGATGAGAGGGATCAGGACAGATACGAGCTGGAAGGAGGAGAGAGGAGGTGGTAGGGATGATGATGATGTTGCTGATGATGTTGCTGATGATGATGATGATGATGATGATGATGATGCTGATGATGATGATGATGCTAGTGATGCTGATGACGATGATGATGCTGCTGATGATAATGATGCTGGTGGTGATGATGTTGATGCTGACGATGCTGCTGATGACGATGATTGCGGTAATGATGACGACGATAATGATGATGCTGATGGTGATGATGATCATGATGATGATCAGGATGATGATAAGGCGGAATATTGATATGATGATGCAGATGAGGATGATGATGTTGATTAGGATGATGCTGCTGATGATAATGCTGATGCTGATTATGCTGATGATGGATATGATGCTGATGATGCTGCTGATGATGATGCTGGGCATGATGATGGTGATGCTGATGCTTATGGCTGTGAAGGTGACGATTACGATGGTGATGGTGATGATGCTGCTGCTGATGCTGATGTCGGTGATGTTATTGATGGTGATGTTGATAGTGACGATGCTGCTGCTGCTGGTGGTGATGACGATGACGACGACGATGATGATGAAGATGAGGAAGATGATGATGGTGATGCTGCTGATGATGATGGCGATGGTGATGCTGTTGATGATGAGGATGATGCTGATGATGATGATGATGATGATGATGATGTCGTTGATGATGATGCTGATGATGATGATGCTTATGCTGCTGCTGATGGTGATGAGGAGGCTGCTGCTGATGGTGATGATGAGGATGATGAGGATGACGGGGGTCATGATGCTGATGATGATGACGATGCTGCTGCAGATGATGGTAATGTTGATGACGATGTTGCTGATGCTGCTGCTGATGCTGATGACGGTGATGTTGTTGATGATGAGGATGATGATGATGATGATGCTGGTGATGACGACGACGACGGTGACGATGATGATGATGATGCTGAAGAGGAATATGATGATGGTGATACTGATGATGATGGTGGTGTCGCTGATGATGACAATGATGGCGATGATGATGGTGATGATGATGACGATGATGATGATGATGGTGATGATGATGATGATAATGATGATGGTGATGAGGATGATGCGATGATGATTCCGATGATGATTCTGCTGCTTCTGATCATGATGAAGATGATGACGACGATGATGATGATGATGATGATGATGATGAGGAAGATGATGATGATGATGATGATGATGATGATGATGATGATGATGATGATGATGATGATGATGATGATGATGATGATGATGATGATGATGATGATGAGGTTGCTGCTGCTGATGATGAGGATGATGATGAGGATGATGGAGATGACTGCGATGAGTATGCGGATGATGATGCTGCTGCCGCTGGTGATGATGTTGATGATCATGCTGATGCTGATGCTGATGCTGGCGATGGTTGTGGCGATGGCGATGATACGGCTGATGATGCAGCTGATGCTGATGTGGTTGCTGCAGATGTCGGGATTGACCACGGTGCTGCTGCTGATGATGATTATGCTGATGATGGTGATGATGATGATGCTGATGGTGATGATGATGATGATGATGATGATGATGATGATGATGATGATGATCATCATGGTGGTGGTGGTCGTGGTGGTGACGATGACGATGCCGATGTTGATGATGTTGATGATGGTGATGGTGATGATGATGATGATGATGATGATGATGATGATGATGACGATAATTAGGATGACCATGAGAATAGGAAGCTGAGGATGACGATGCTGATTATGCTGAGGATGGAAGAATATGCTGCTGCTGATGATGACGACACTGATGATGATGACGATGATGGTGACGATGATGATGAAGATGAGGAAGATGATGATGATGATGATGATGATGATGATGATGATGATGATGATGATGATGATGATGATGATGATGATGATGCTGATGATGCTGGTGCTGATGCTGATGCTGATGATGCTGATGATACTGCTGCAGATGATGATGATGATGATGATGATGATGATGATGATGATGATGATGATGATGATGATGATGATGATGATGATGATGATGATGATGATGATGATGATGATGATGATGATGATGATGATGATGATGATGATGATGATGATGATGATGATGCGGATGATGGAAAGAGCGCGTTCTCGCTTGGAGGAGGGCTCCCCTGGATGGAGGGGGGGGGGTTCGAACCCCCCCCCCCTCTCCCGTGACGGAGGGGGGGGGGGTCGAACCCCCCCCACCCTCCCTACCTTTCCTCTCTCCTCGGGCTGGCGCCTGCGTCGGCGGGCGGCTGGCGGCGGCGGCGGGGACGACGATTTCCTTTTCTGGGCCGGCGCCGGCGCCTGCGGCGGCGGGCGGCGGCGGCGGGGAGCGTCGACGAGGACGACGGTGGTGTTTGTGGTGGGTTGTGGTGGTGGTGGTGGTGGTGGCGGTGGTGGTGGTTGTGGTGGTTTGGTCTTGGTGTGGTGGTGGTTTGTGGTGGTGATGGTGGTGGTGGTGGGTTGTGGTGGTGGTGGTGGTGGTGGTTTGGTGGTGGTGTGGTAGTGGTTTGTGGTGGTGGTGGTGGTGGGTTGTGGTGCTGGCGTTGGTTTGTGGAGGTGGTGCTGGTGGTGGTGGTGGCGGTGGTGGTGGTGGTGGTGGTGTGGTGGTTTGTGGTGGTGGTAGTGGGCTGTGCTGCTGGTAGTGGTGTTGGTTGAGGGAGTGGTGGTGGTGGTGTGCTAGATTGTGGTGGCGGTGGTAGTGGTGGTGGGTTTTTGTAGTGGTGGTGGTGATGGTGAATTGTGGTGGTGGTGTTGGTTGTGGTGGTGGTGGTGGCTGTGGTGGTGGTGGTGGTGGTTGTGTGGTGGGTTGGTGGTGGTGGTGGTGGGTTGAGGCGGTGGTGGTGGTGGTAGTGGTGGTGGTGGTAGTGGTGGTAATCGTCGCTGCGTCCCCGCTGTCGGCGGCGCGAGCGCCGGCGCTGCTGGCCGCCGCCAGCGCCCGCGCCGGCTCCGACGCCATGGGGGGGGGTTTGAACCCTCCTCCCCTTGAGCTGGTTCTGGTCATCGTCGCTGCGTCCCCTTTGGCGCCGGCGCCAGCGCCGGCGACAAAGGGGGGGAGGTTTTGAACCCCCCACTTTGGGAGGGGGGGGGGTTCGGGAGCGGGGGGGTTTGGGGGAGGGGAGTCCCCCTGGTTTTGATCGACGGCGCCGAGTGTTGGGGGGTGCCACTCCCCGGTTTGAAACGCGCTGCCGAATGTTCCCAAGTCGAGCGCCCATGAAACGCGCTTTCTCGGATAACGAGGACGATGAAGATGAGGATGCTAATGCTTATGATGTTGATGATGATGGTGACTGTGAGGATACGGCTGATGATGATTATGATGCTAATGGGGTTGCTGCTGATGACGAGGGTGATCATCATGCTTCTGGTGCTGCTGATGATGCTGATGATGATGGTGTTGGTGGTGATAATGGTAATGATGATGGTGATATGATGATGATGGTGATGGTGATAATGACGACGATGCTGATGATGATGATGATGATGATGATAGTGCTGCTGCTGCTGACGATGATGATCACGACGACGATGATGACCATGGCGAGCAGGAGGAGGAGGATGAGGCTGAGGAGGCGGGGAGTGGGTGGTTGAGGGCGAGGAGCAGGCTTTGACCAATGGCTGGAGGAACAAGGAGAATGGGAGGAGGCTAAGGAACATGAGGATGGGAATGTTGAGGATGCTGATGACCATCATCAGGGACATGGTAAGTAGGAGGCGGCGAAGGAGGAATAATATGACGACGAGAGGAGTATGATTGAGATGATCCGAAGAAGCAAAAGGTTGATGACGACGGGTGGGGGGTACGGAAAATGAGGGTGATAAGGACAAGGTTATGGAGGAAGGGCGAGCAGGTTAAGGAGGAAGGGCGAGCAGAGAAAGGACGTGCAAGAGCGGCGGCTACGATGACGGGGACGATTTCGATGTCGAGGACGACCACGATGACGATGACGATGACGATTACGATGACGACGGCGAGGGCGGCGGCGGCGATGCTGGTGGTGGTGATGATGATGATGATGATGAGGAGGAGGAGGAGGAGGCTTGGTGAGGATGCATGAGGAGATGGAAGAGGAGGAGGAGGAGGAGGAGGACGAGGAGGAGGATAATCAATATTCAGGAGGACTAGGAAGAGAAGGAGGGCATGCTAAGGCGGAGTCCCGGGAGAGCAGCGAGGGAGGATAAGGATGGAGGACGGAGGGGCAGGGGACGGTGGAAGAGCGAGAATCGATGAGGGGTAAGGGAGGAGCCGGGAGGGTGGGTGTGGTGTCGGCCGTGCCGTCTCCTGAGGCAGGAGCCTCTCGATACGGGCGCCCTCGGCCCCGTCCCTGAGGCCCCCCCCTCGAGATAGCCACCACAGCAGATTTGCCTGCAGGCCGTGCTTGGCCGCGGTTGCACTGCTCCTCCTGCCCCTCCTGCTTCTGCCCTTGCTGAGGTTGCTCCTCCTCCTCCGCCTCCTCCTCCTTCTCCCTCCTTCTCCCTCCTTCTCCCTCCGCATCCGTCATCCTCCCTTCTCGTCTTTCCTCTTCCCTCCGTTCTCCTGGGGGACAGGTCCTGGATGCGATGGCCCATAGTCCCCGCGGGGTGGAGGTGCACGCAGCATGGCGGCTACCGCCCTGCGGGGTGGGAGCAACCACAGAAGCTCTCCCTTCCCTCTTCTCCACCTCCCTCCTCCTCATCCCTCTTATGTACCTCTTCTCTGCCTCAGTGTACTTTGCGTTGTACCTTTTCTGATGTATTTTCCGCGCCCTGTGCGTCAGCCCGTGCGCGAGTCCGCCGCGCAGCTGGCCACAGCAAAATCTCCCCCCCTGTCCTGTGCAGGGATTCGTGCATGGATGTATGATCGGCTTCGACAGCCACAACACGATGGAGAGCTTCACCGGCTCGGACGACATGTCCCCCCTGCTCCAAGATGCCATGGAGCTCCCTCTCTCGCGCTTTACGGAGAGTGCGGACGCCTGATTTGCCCAACCCAGTAGGCGGACAATAGTGAGGGTAATGATGCGAAGGATAAGAAAGGGAGGTGGAGGAGGAGGAGGAGGAGGAGGACCAGGAGGAGGAGGAGGACGAGGAGAAGGAGGAGGAGCAGGAGGAGGAGGAGGAAAAGGAGAAAGAGGAGTTTTAACACCCGTGTTCAGCCCGTGGAACGAGTGCCGCACCGCTCGGCACGCCCGCGCACGCGGCCGCGGCGGGCAGTGGTCGGACGGCCTCAGCCCCAGGCCTCTTGGCGGAGCAGCTGCCAAGGCACTGCTACGCCGCACTGTCTACTCCTAAACAGACCTCCCCCCTCAGGGCCGCCTAGCCCTGCCTTGAAAAACCTGGGGGCAGGGGTCGAGGGAGGAGCGTGGGGGTGAGAGGAGGGAGGGACAAGAAGAGGCAGCCCCAACGGCGCCTCCGCCGCTCCTGCGCGCGCAAGCCATTCACCCACGCTGACCCACGCCTCCGCCTGCCTCTGCAGGTCGGGACCCTGGAACTCCCTCGGCCGCACAGGCGGGTCACCCGGCGCGAGACTACGCGGAGCCCAGGACGATTGCATGCCCCCCTGCCCAAGGGGGACCATGTTGCACGCATCCATGAGCCTCACCCGACCACCTCGTGGTGCGGGAGGACCCGGGTGCGGAGGCTGGCGCTGGGGCGGACAGGACCCCAGCCGTCTAGTCCCTCCACGCCCACCACCACCCGCTAGTGGGTGTTTTTTCGCGGCAGGTGAGGCCGTGCCCTGAGGGTCACGTTGCCCTCCGTGGCCCGAGCGGCCACGCTGGACAACCTGACACCCCAGGACCCGACCTGACCCACAGCGGCGCCTCGAAGGACGGCTGAGCGGGCTTTAATTCCCCCGAGGCCCCGATGAGCCGCCCACTCACCGAGGCACCCCTCCGCGGGCGAGGAGGAGAATGAGCAGGAGCGAAAGGGGGAGGAGGAGGAGGAGGAGGAGGAGGAGGAGGAGGAGGAGGAGGAGGAGGAGGAGGGGGAGGGGGAGGCGGAGGCGGAGGCGGAGGAGGAGGAGGAGGAGGAGGAGGAGGAGGAGGAGGGGACAGCATTGTTGTACTCTCATCCAGGGCACGGATCGCCGCGGTCCGCATCTCCGACTTGATTATTTCCAGCTTGACTTGGGGTGCGTGATTGGTTCGGACGGGGCGGGCGGGGAGGAGAGCGAGGACCCTAGGTTGAGACGCTGCGGCTGGGTTTTTCCCCATATCCTAAGATGGGGTTCTTGTTATTACTTGGACGCCTCCTACTCCTTCTCCTCCCTCCTCCTTCCTCCTCCCCTCCTCCTCTTTCCTCATACTCAGACCTACTCATACTCAGACTTACTCATGCTCAGACTTACTCATACTCAGACCTACTCATACTCAGACTTACTCACACTCAGACATATTCATACACAGACTTACTCATACACAGACTTACTCACACCCAGACGTACTCATACACAGACTTACTCATACCCAGACTTACACATACACAGTATTACTCATACTCAGACTTACTCATACCCAGACGTACACATAAACAGACTTTCTCACGCTTGGAGAGCAGATTGTGAGGATGTCTCAGGCGGGGCGCTGGTTTCAGCACCCCTAAGGGGAGCCGCCAGGGGTGTTTGCACGGGCTCGTTCGCGGCCATTTTGTGGGGATGTCTCAGGCGGTTTGCCTGTTTCTGTGCCCAACATCCTTCGCTTTCGGAGCAGATTTGGAGGATGTCTCGAGCGAGGCGCTCATTTCAGCACCCCTAAGGGGAGCCGCCAGGGGTGGTTGCACGGGCTCGTTCGCGGCCATTTTGTGGGGATGTCTCAGGCGGTTTGCTTGTTTCTGGGCCCAACATCCTTCGCTTTCGGAGCAGATTTGGAGGATGTCTCGAGCGAGGCGCTCATTTCAGCACCCCTAAGGGGAGCCGCCAGGGGTGGTTGCACGGGCTCGTTCGCGGCCATTTTGTGGGGATGTCTCAGGCGGTTTGCTTGTTTCTGGGCCCAACATCCTTCGCTTTCGGAGCAGATTTGGAGGATGTCTCGAGCGAGGCGCTCATTTCAGCACCCCTAAGGGGAGCCGCCAGGGGTGGTTGCACGGGCTCGTTCGCGGCCATTTTGTGGGGATGTCTCAGGCGGTTTGCTGTTTCTGGCCCAACATCCTTCGCTTTCGGAGCAGATTTGGAGGATGTCTCGAGCGAGGCGCTCATTTCAGCACCCCTAAGGGGAGCCGCCAGGGGTGGTTGCACGGGCTCGTTCGCGGCCATTTTGTGGGGATGTCTCAGGCGGTTTGCTTGTTTCTGGGCCCAACATCCTTCGCTTTCGGAGCAGATTTGGAGGATGTCTCGAGCGAGGCGCTCATTTTCACCCCCCAGGTGGGCCAGATTTTGAGGATGTCTCGATCGGTTTGCTTGTTTTGGTGGCCAGGCTCGTGGGCGCAGATTCTTCTCAGGATGCCACAGGAGGCCCCAACAGGCTCCAGGAGGCCCCAGGAGACCACATGAGGTCCCAGGAGGCATCAGGAGGCCACAGAAAGACTCAAGAGGCCACAGGATGTCCCAAGAGGCTCCAGGAGGCCCCAGGAAGCTCCAGAAGGCCTCGGGAAACCACAGGAGGCCCCAGGAGGCAACAGGAAGCGCCAGGAGGCCTCGGAAGGCAACAGGAGGCCCCGAGAGGCCCCAGGAGCAGGAGGCCTCAGAAGGCAACAGGAGTGGCTCCAATCCCATGTGTGTTACGTATGCTCCTATCGATTGGGCCTCACCTGGAGCACGATTCTTTGATGTTCTACGTATGTTTCTATAGATGGTCCTTCTCCTGTGTACACAATCCTAAATGTTTTACTCATGTTCCTATGTATTGGGCCTCTCCTGGGGCACGAGTCCTTGGTGTTTTACGCGTGTTCCTATAGATTGCCCTTCTCCTGTGGCTCTAATCCGCAATGTTTTATGTACGTCTGTTGCTATAGATTGCGCCTCTCCTGGGGCACGAAACCTTCCTAGGAGGTCCCAGGAGGTCCCAAGAGGCTCCTGGAGACCCCAGGAAGCCCCAGTAGGTTTCAGGAGGCCCCAGGAGGCCCCAGGCTCATGCACAGAGACGCGCTCGTACTACTGAGGCTCATTCACACTCCAATTCATTCGCAGTTAGATTGATGTCCAGACCGTCACAACTGAAGCCCGTTAATATTCGAAAGCTCTTGCGCCTAGACATTCACGGCGGACAGGTCCATGCGAGTAGATGCACATATGGGGAGCTCCACGCAGTGAATAATTGTCATTCTCCGCGGAGCCCAGCACTTGGCCTGGGGACTAGGTCCCATGCCAGGTGATCGGCAGACGGTCCCGGCAGCATACTTATATGCTATCACCCGTGCCGCCCAGGGCACTATTGGGCCAGTCAGTTGTGTTATATAATGCGGGTGTTGTTTCGGGCATTGGAGCGGGGCAGCTTCGGGCCGATTTTTGTGCAGCTGTTGGACAACGGACACTTACAGTTCGCAAGATCAGGTCGCATTTAACTCCTTTGAGCACGCCCAAGCGTTCGCTTACGACCCAATCGACTGGCAAGCGAATCGATTGGCTGACAAGGCGGAGGAGGAAGGAGCGCGTTTGGCCCAGGTTCCTTTGGAGAAACGTCGGGAAGTGCTCCGGGCTGATAATCTGTGCTCCCAGGTCCTGGATTCCCTCCTGGCTATTTTAGCTTCCCTGGTCAAGCAGGCGCCGACCCTTTACGGGGCAGCGGCCAAGGGAAATCGCCAGGAGGAGGCCAAGGCCCGTTCCGCCTAGGCCAAGCAGGCTCATCAAGATTCCTTGGCCCATCTGTTGAGCCAGACCCAGCACTCTGTGGAGCAGCGGGCTCCTTGCCCTTGGAGGTGTACCATTTTTGTTTTGCAGGTGACGGAGCCGTCTCCTGTCGCGGACCTCGGCGGGCTGGCGCCCGCGTCGTGGGTTGACAAACCTCCCTTGATGGAGGCGGCTCGGCTTTTCTTTCCCTCCCCTTTTCGGAGGCCCTCAGTGGACCCTTCATCCGCAGGCAGGTAAGGAGGTAAGGGGGGAGGATTGACAGCAAAGGATTGACAGCAAAGGAGGATTGACAGCAAAGGAGCAGCAGCGGAGCAGAAGCAGCAGCAGCTGGGCGGCGTGAGCACGGTGTGCACGGTGCCGTTTGTAGCAGATCACGGTGCCGCTGACCGTGCCCAGGAGGAGCACATCGCATGGCCAGCGCCCGCGCGCCTGTTCAAGGCGGGCCCAGCTCCCCGCCCCCCCTTCCTCCTTCCTTCCTCTTCTCTCCTCCCTTCTCTCCCTCCATCCACAATCGAAGAAACACGATGACCATGACCAAGATGTCGCGGGATCTTGTCGGCAATTACCACGGTCATGGTCCATGCTGACCGTCGCCGATTCGCGATGATGATCCACGAGTAAAAGACGACCAATATAGACGATGACCAAATCGACACCGACGTTTCTGCGTGAAGTCTGGGTCATGGTTCTCGTTGTCTTTTTCCCTCCGCATCCGCCTTCTTCTCCCTCCTGGGTCCTCCAGGGGCGCCCCTGGCAGCGCCCGACTTCTTTGGGCGCCCGGACCCCCAGGTGAGCGACGCAGGAAAACGGGTTCGACTGCGCGGACAGTCGCGCGTAAGCTGCCCGCGTAAGGTCGCGCGTAAGTGCTCTCTTCTGCACGCGGTGTGCCACGCTAGCGCCCCGCCTAAGCCGCGGCGTACGGTCGCTACAGCCAAGACCCTGATGGAATGACCACTTTGGGCTCAGGAGGGGCTCGTGCTTTCGGGCCGTTCCACAGCTTTATGAAGTGGAAGCTGTTTGTGACTTAGGCCCGCCGTGGCCAGAAGAACCTGTTCTTTCCTTCTTATGCGTTCCTGATGGTTGCACGATGGCTGTATGCCATCTTGCGTAAGACCCGTTCCTTTTCGTCGCTCAGGTGGCCTCGCTGTTCTGCGGCAGCTCCGAGCTCCTGGTGTCGAACGAGTTCTCGATGTAC